GGCAATGTGTTTCTTTTCAATAATACCATCAAATATTATCTCTACAGACCTTACTGCAATGATATAAGTTATTGAATGAGAGGGTGTAACAAATAAATTTACTGGTAATGTGATTGTTTTCAATAATACCATCAAATATTATCTCTACAGACCTTACTGTAATGATATAAGTTATTGAATGAAAGGGTGTAACAAATAAATTTACTGGCAATGTGTTTGTTTTCAATAATATCATCAAATATTATCTCTACAGACCTTACTGCAATGATATAAGTTATTGAATGAGAGGGTATAACAAATAAATTTACTGGTAATGTGTTTTTTTCAATAACATCATCAAATATTATCTCTACAGACCTTACTGCAATGATATAAGTTATTGAATGAGAGGGTATAACAAATAAATTTACTGGTAATGTGTTTTTTTCAATAACATCATCAAATATTATCTCTACAGACCTTACTGCAATGATATAAGTTATTGAATGAGAGGGTATAACAAATAAATTTACTGGTAATGTGTTTGTTTTCAATAATATCACCAAATATTATCTCTACAGACCTTACTGCAATGATATAAGTTATTGAATGAGAGGGTGTAACAAATAAATTTACTGGCAATGTGTTTCTTTTCAATAATATCATCAAATATTATCTCTACAGACCTTACTGCAATGATATAAGTTATTGAATGAGAGGGTATAACAAATAAATTTACTGGTAATGTGTTTGTTTTAAATAATATCATCAAATATTATCTCTACAGACCTTACTGCAATGATATAAGTTATTGAATGAGAGGGTGTAACAAATAAATTTACTGGCAATGTGTTTCTTTTCAATAATATCATCAAATATTATCTCTACAGACCTTACTGCAATGATATAAGTTATTGAATGAGAGGGTGTAACAAATAAATTTACTGGCAATATGTTTCTTTTCAATAATATCATCAAATATTATCTCTACAGACCTTACTGCAATGATATAAGTTATTGAATGAGAGGGTGTAACTAATAAATTTACTGGCAATGTGTTTCTTTTCAATAATATCATCAAATATTATCTCTACAGACCTTACTGCAATGAAATAAGTTATTGAATGAGAGGGTGTAACAAATAAATTTACTGGCAATGTGTTTGTTTTCTATAATATCATCAAATATTATCTCTACAGACCTTACTGCAATGATATAAGTTATTGAATGAGTGGGTGTAACAAATAAATTTACTGGTAATGTGATTGTTTTCAATAATATCTTCAAATATTATCTCTACCGACCTTACTGCAATGATATAAGTTATTGAATGAGAGGGTGTAACAAATAAATTTACTGGCAATGTGTTTGTTTTCTATAATATCATCAAATATTATCTCTACAGACCTTACTGTAATGATATAAGTTATTGAATGAGAGGGTGTAACAAATAAATTTACTGGCAATGTGTTTCTTTTCGATAATATCATCAAATATTATCTCTACAGACCTTACTGCAATGATATAAGTTATTGAATGAGAGGGTGTAACAAATAAATTTACTGGCAATGTGTTTGTTTTCTATAATATCATCAAATATTATCTCTACAGACCTTACTGTAATGATATAAGTTATTGAATGAGAGGGTGTAACAAATAAATTTACTGGCAATGTGTTTCTTTTCAATAATATCATCAAATATTATCTCTACAGACCTTACTGCAATGATATAAGTTATTGAATGAGAGGGTGTAACAAATATATTTACTGGCAATGTGTTTCTTTTCAATAATATCATCAAATATTATCTCTACAGACCTTACTGCAATGATATAAGTTAGAAGCATTTTTCTGGCCGACCTATTCAATTTTCATCATCATAATTATTATTATTGTTTTTTTTTTGTTGGTTATCAAATTATTTGCAATTGTAGTTTCCTTTTTGTTTTGTCGTGTTCTTTTTTAAGCAATAAAATATATAGAACTAAGGTGTAATATTCAATTCAAACATATGGAACCAACATCGATTCATTATTAAAACAAAGCAAAATCATAAGCTTATACAACTTTCACTCTTTGATACAATAGATGTCTTAGATTCAAACCCGAGCTTTGGGTGCATAATTGTTATTGTTCAATTGTGTATGTCCTAATACACCATGAAATGTCCATTCTTTCACAGCTACAGAAGTAATCATTTTTATCCCATCGAAGAAATGTGCGAATTTGTATATAACAAAGACACTTATTCGTAAAATAAAAGGATTTAAAAGCGCGAATGTTTCTTTTATACATAAAACGAACTTCTACTGTCCTTACTGCGATGAAAAAAATATATTGGGAGGGCTTGGCTCATCAGTGGTGAACCCTCCCAGCGGTTTCGCCAATTTAATCCACCAGACCGCTTCTCAGAGCTCTAATACTGTATTGGAGAAGCGGTCTGGTGGATTAAATTGGCGAAACCGCTGGGAGGGTTCACCACTGAGGAGCCAAGCCCTCCCAATATATTTTTTCATCGTAGTAAGGACAGTAGAAGTTCGTTTTATGTATAAAAGAAACATTCGCGCTTTTAAATCCTTTTATTTTATATGTATAGATGGCGCGTTATTGCTTTGTGTTAAAGACACTTATTATTAAAAAAGGAATCTCCTTATCGTGCAACTGAAAGTTGCTGATGACTTGCGCCATCTATCGGAATAAATATCAACTATTTTCGTTGATTTTTAATTATTCCAGAATAGGCCAAATACCCATTCTTGATTAATCAAGAAAAGCTAACCACGGACGCGTTTCGGGCTGTTGGCCCTCATCAGCGTGGTGCAAGCTGTACCTCAAAGACCAAAAAACTGGTCATTCAGGCATCCTGAATAATCATGAAACGGGTAGTTAAGGCCAGAATTGCGTGAGACCGCGACAGAATTTGAAAAAAGACACCTATGTAAAATTCAAATAGTTTTAGTAAATCATTTTAGATTTTTTTTTGTTTGAGAAAACCAAAGTTTCAGTTATAGAATTGTATATAAAATGAATTGTATATAAGTTGATAAAATGTATTTAGGCGCAAGTATCCCAAGCTGGGATATCGCGTTCGATATGTTAAATAAAAATATGACTTGGGTAAATTCGAGGTGATATATGCGCCAAAATCTGGAGTACCTATCAAGATTATGAGGATTGGATGAAATATTCGGTAATTAACAATATAAACATAATGTTTTATGGGCCAAACAAATAATTCACTTTTTAAAATTTATCCCTAGTACACGTGGTACAGGCCATGATAATCATGGTGGGTAGAGGTAGGCGACTGCTTTTACTGTAATTACACCACATGTCTACATATGTGAAAATCAGTTCGACTTTTGCACTTACAAATGTGCCAGAAACCAGTTTGGTTACTTGAATTCGCTGGTGGGGTTGGACTTTTGCAAGAATCGGGGATCATTGGAGCATATTTTTTTTTATCCCCAGGTCCCTCCAACAGTGCTTTGTATATACACCTACCCCCCGATTTACACGGTACTTGTTTTACACGTTTTCGCTTTTACACGGTTTTCCAAATAAGTTTTTTTTTTGTTTTTATCGCACTATACTAAATGCTACTGTGATTGAACACATGCGCTGTGTACACATATCACGAGGAATCCCGAGCTTATGTGCTGACTACATATTTTAACCTGTCAATGCATTTTATTTTTATTTCTGTGTACACCTATCCCCCGATTTACACGTTTTTCTCAGGAACGTATCTACCGTGTAAATCGGGGGATAGGTGTATTTCGCTTTATGCGTCCATCGGGGCTCAAAAATCATCCATTCTGGTTAGCAGCCCTGTCTTTCAAGATTACAGAGTCAACAACGATTTAATAGCTTTAGGCCCTAGTGATTTAATTTCAAGTAAGGAGACATATATAAAATTTAATTTACTTTGTAAATATATTTTGGAATTCATTAAGAAAAATGGTCTTTGATGTAACGATCTCAAGGAAATTTTGGACATATCTTGTGGTTGTAAACAATATATAGGTGTATGCGTGTATATGTGTGTATATATGTATATATTTTTAAATTTAATGATGTTACTGTAAATAAAATTCAAAGAATATCTCTATATGTAAATAATATTTATGAATCTTTTTGAGTTACTTTCTGTGTATCTTTCCATGTTGAATATTTTCTTTGTTATATTTGTATGTACATTCAGCGCAAGTGTCCCTAGGGGGACATAGCGTTTTGAATTGAAATAAATAAATAAATAAATAAAAAGCCCTGTAAATAAAAATATTTCCGGAGCATTTTTTTTTATTAGAAAAAAAAAAAAAAGTGTCTAATGCGGGATTTGATCCCGGATGGTAGCAGTCGAAAACCAATGGTTGAGAACATCCACTGACCACTTAAAAGACTGAAGTAACCGAGCTAATAAATCAAACTCATTTAAAATAATGTAAAGAACTTCCTTATGTTATTCCCCCTAAAAAAGCGAAATTAGGAATAATTTGCTGCGAGTTGAATCAAGATATATTGGCGATCTGTCAGTTAGGGATCAAGTCAGCGACTTTACTACACAAACAACGCCAAGAATTCTGTCGGGAGAGATGTGCAAATAAACTGTCGCCGAACTTGGGGGAAGTGTCAGGATGTTGTCGGACAGCGTCCTATAATGTCACCCTGTTTACCAAGAAATTCTTCAAGATTTCTTATCTATCCGCCTTGTATCAGATAAAATACCCACGCTCAACTTGCTGTGCAGAATCTACGGGTTTTCCTAAATATCATTTCATATGTTCCTAAGATATCTATTGTACAATATAATATAATGCGGCATATGATTGTAAAATGACATTTGAAATTATCCCGCATGTGTTTCTTTTCAACGAAAAATCAAAATTTATTTTAAGGAGAAATAATGATTATTTCTAACCTTATGGATGAGGTCCCTCAAATGTCGTTTTACAATCAAAAGCCGCATTATATTGTATTATAAGTTACTTTATGTATTATTTATGAACGGAAAAATATGTCCAGGGTAGCCTAGTGGACATGGCATCTGCCCGGTAAGCGGAACATTGTGGGTTCCCATCCCTGGACACTTTTATTTTTTCGTTTATCATTACTCTTCACAATTCATCCTTTCATACCTCATCCATAAGGTTAGAAATAATCGTTATTTCTTCTTAAAATAAATTTTGATTCTTTGTTGAAAAGAAACACATGCGGAATAATTTTAAAATGTCGTTTTATATCTATTGTACATTGCTGCTGCTGTGATAGAGATGTATAAAGACATCTGAGGCTCTTCATTGGACAAGGCAACAACAACAATACAGTATACACACCCAAGATAGAGGACATTGTGACTGCTGTGATAGAGATGCATGGAGACATCTGAGGATCTTCATTGGACACGACAACAACAACAATACAGTATACACACCCAAGATAGAGGACATTGCGACTGCAGTGATAGAGATGTATGGAAACATCTGAGGCTCTTCATTGGACACAACAACAACAATACAGTATACACACCCAAGATAGAGGACATTGCTGCTGCTGTGATAGAGATGTATGGAGATATCTGAGGCTCTTCATTGGACACGACAACAACAACAATACAGTATACACACCCAAGATAGAGGACATTGTGACTGCTGTGATAGAGATGCATGGAGACATCTGAGGCTCTTCATTGGACACGACAACAACAACAATACAGTATACACACCCAAGATAGAGGACATTGTGACTGCTGTGATAGAGATGCATGGAGACATCTGAGGCTCTTCATTGGACACGACAACAACAACAATACAGTATACACACCCAAGATAGAGGACATTGCTGTGATAGAGATGTATGGAGACATCTGAGGCTCTTCATTGGACACGACAACAACAACAATACAGTATACACACCCAAGATAGAGGACATTGCGACTGCTGTGATAGAGATGCATGGAGACATCTGAGGCTCTTCATTGGACACGACAACAACAATACAGTATACACACCCAAGATAGAGGACACTGCTGTGATAGAGATGTATGGAGACATCTGAGGCTCTTCATTGGACACGACAACAACAATACAGTATACACACCCAAGATAGAGGACATTGCGACTGCTGTGATAGAGATGTATGGAGACATCTGAGGCTCTTCATTGGACACGGCAACAACAATACAGTATACACACCCAAGATAGAGGACATTGCGACTGCTGTGATAGAGATGTATGGAGACATCTGAGGCTCTTCATTGGACACGGCAACAACAATACAGTATACACACCCAAGATAGAGGACGACTGCTGTGATAGAGATGTATGGAGACATCTGAGGATATTCATTGGACACGACAACAACAATACAGTATACACACCCAAGATAGAGGACGACTGCTGTGATAGAGATGTATGGAGACATCTTAGGATATTCATTGGACACGACAACAACTTATCTATTGCATGTGTTGGCATAAGTTGATATATTGTAATTTAATACATTGGAGTGACTAAAGTATTGTCTGAATATCTTCATTTTATTTGAAAATTTACATTATATTATTGTTATATATTTAACAAACACACTTATTGAGAGATAAAAAGGATAAATATTAGATGGCGACTAGCTTTGACGTCTATTTTGACGGGAGAGGCGTCTTTTGTCTTTGTAGATTAATATCTTCCCGGTAAAATTTACAATAAATATTATATATATTATATTGGTTTTTAAAGAGTTAAATATATTAGATAGTAAGAAGGCATATATTGGATTGAATAAAAGATTTATTTTGCCAATATTTCGGTTGGCTGAATGCCAACCTTTATCGAGGCATTACACTTTTGTATACACAAACTCAAATATATATTTGTAGTGTAAAAATAAATGAAACGCTCTTTTTTTAAAAAGGTGATTTTGTTTCGAAAATATCTAAAAAGATTGTTTTTCTCTCTGCAACGGAGTAACATTAGAATTTTTTACACTAAAAATAAAAGAGTATCACCATCATAATATATTTTATATGCACAAGCTATATGTAAATATATATTTATTATTTATATGTATAAATCATTATATTCACGATCGAACGTTGTACTGTACGTATTACATCCCAAACACGACCATCTCTGTCTTGAGCTCGATGTGCCATCTCGGTGACCGTTAAACCAGTGAGTTCATTTACTGATAGTAATATCATTTTATTCACGATAGAACGTTGTACTGTACGTATTACATCCCAAACACGACCATCTCTGTCTTGAGCTCGATGTACCATCTCGGTGACTGTTAAACCAGTGAGTTCATTTACTGATAGTAATATCATTTTATTCGCGATCGAACGTTGTACTGTACGTATTACATCCCAAACACGACCATCTCTGTCTTGAGCTCGATGTACCATCTCGGTGACCGTCAAACCAGTGAGTTCATTTACTGATAGTAATATCATTTTATTCACGATAGAACGTTGTACTGTACGTATTACATCCCAAACACGACCATCTCTGTCTTGAGCTCGATGTACCATCTCGGTGACTGTTAAACCAGTGAGTTCATTTACTGATAGTAATATCATTTTATTCACGATCGAACGTTGTACTGTACGTATTACATCCCAAACACGACCATCTCTGTCTTGAGCTCGATGTACCATCTCGGTGACTGTTAAACCAGTGAGTTCATTTACTGATAGTAATATCATTTTATTCACGATCGAACGTTGTACTGTACGTATTACATCCCAAACACGACCATCTCTGTCTTGAGCTCGATGTACCATCTCGGTGACTGTTAAACCAGTGAGTTCATTTACTGATAGTAATATCATTTTATTCACGATCGAACGTTGTACTGTACGTATTACATCCCAAACACGATGACAGCCATCTCTGTCTTGAGCTCGATGTACCATCTCGGTGACTGTTAAACCAGTGAGTTCATTTACTGATAGTAATATCATTTTATTCGCGATCGAACGTTTGTACTGTACGTATTACATCCCAAACACGATGACAGCCATCTCTGTCTTGAGCTCGATGTACCATCTCGGCGACCGTTAAACCAGTGAGTTCATTTACTGATAGTAATATCATTTTATTCACGATCGAACGTTGTACTGTACGTATTACATCCCAAACACGACCATCTCTGTCTTGAGCTCGATGTACCATCTCGGTGACCGTTAAACCAGTGAGTTCCTTTAATTGGTCCACATGTCGACGGACGTCCATGTCTCCCAGACATCAGTCAGTATGGTGTACTGATGTGACCGAAGATTTTATTACTAGATATGAATGACCCTGGAAGCCATCGGTTTTTTCCCGGTTGAATTTTTTCCAGAGAGTATATATACGTACAATAAAAATCTGTTTCTTGAAAATATAGATACTTCGGTCAGTAAATCTTTTTATTACCTCGACGTTTCGACAATTTTGTCCTCGTCAGGAGCAAACAAAAATCAAACATTTGGCAAGGCGTTAAAATCTTTCTTTCTGACGAGGACAAAATTGTCGAAACGTCGAGGTAATAAAAAGATTTACTGGCCGAAGTATCTTTATTTCAAGAAATAGGAATGCCAGCCAGGTAGCCTCTATCTTTACGAATTAAAATCTGTTTAATTAAAATATAACGAGGTGAAGGACAAATTTGGAAAGTTCCTATTTATTCTTTAAATCTTATTTTTGATTATTGAATGACAAGTACTGAATAATATATCAGAAACTTCATTAATTATTACTACTAATTATTTTTAATTAATCCCTTTATTTTTCAGAGAAGTTGTGACAACATTGACTTCGTATGGTAATCTTTCCTTCATAAACTTTTTATGTAATTCAAAACAACACGATTGTGAATGTATATCTTTACCGAAGGCTTTTTGAAGAATTAAAAAGGTTTCAGATTTTTAATTTTAAAGAATGATATCAGGCGCTCTCTTTGTTCTGATAAAGGGTCATTTTGATAAGAGAGAAGAACAGTTGGGCCGATATAAGTTCAGTAAATTCTAATAAACTTATCGAATCTTGTTCCAAAATCACTTTATTAGGTACCGCTCAAGAAGAGTAACCTAGTTTATGATATTTACAACAATGAATAATATGTGAAGGTTATTCACATGTTAAACAAATTGTCCTTCATTTCCGGTACTAATTAATGAAATATCAAAGAATAGGTATATAGCGGTGGCGATATTTGGATTCCACAGGATTATATCCCGGAAAAAGGCCACACAGTGTTCTCCCCATCCCTTGTGAACTGACAAATCCTGTATAGGGCGAGAGGCCTTAAATAAAGGCTTTGTTCATGGTAAACGGATTGCGGATTTCGACAATTTAGAAAGAGGGAATCATATATCGCCGCAACTCTTTTTATTAACGCGATAGGTTATAGTTATAGGTACACTATAGTTAGCTGAAGAAGGGCTTGCCCGAAAGCTTCCTTAATCGCGTTAATAAAAAAGAGTTGCGGCGATATATGATCCCCTCTTTCTAAAAAGGCTTTGTTGTTGTTGTTATTAAACAAAATGTTAACGTGGGATTCAATCCTGGTTCATGGCTGTCGGGAATCGAGGGTGTTACCTACTGGTCCACCGACTGTATTTTAACTTATCGAAACTCGTAAATGATATTCTTTAAGAGTTTAACCAAATAGAGAAATTGTATTCATTACATATTTATAAATTCCATTGCCATCTATAGATACTATGTGTAACAAATAAATGTACTAGCAATATGTTTCTTTTCTATAATATCATCAAATATTATCTCTACAGGCCTTACTGCAATGATATAAGTTATTGAATGAGAGGGCTTGGCTCATCAATAACTTATATCATTGCAGTAAGGTCTGTAGAGATAATATTTGATGATATTATTGAAAAGAAACACATTGACAATAAATTTATTTGTTACACCCTCTCATTCAATAACTTATATCATTGCAGTAAGGTCTGTAGAGATAATATTTGATGATATTATTGAAAAGAAACACATTGCCAGTAAATTTATTTGTTACACCCTCTCATTCAATAACTTATATCATTACAGTAAGGTCTGTAGAGATAATATTTGATGATATTATTGAAAAGA